CAATTCCCACACTGTGTCACTGGTGTTGTCCCCCGCAGGGCCATGGGTCAGTGAGGGGCATCACGTCTCCCACCCCCTTTCTCATTCTAACAAAATTCATTGCTAAAAATTCAAGTCAACTGTTTTTCTGGTATAGCTCATGCCATGACATCTGCTATCAAATATGTTTGTATTTAATCTTTATAACATCTCATTAAAGAAAAATCATCTTTATATTTAAATGATGCAAGTAGAAATAATTCTGAGTTTGCAACAAAGGCCCTCACAATAGCTTTGATCATATCACTTAATAATCCTGTGAGTCCCCATCATTATGGGGTCTATAATGTACAATCTGTCTGGGAGATTACAATCCTAATGGAGAGACATAGAATAGGTATATAACCATTCAAGATGGCATATTTTTCGCCAATTGATTTATAAATACGTGAATTATTTCATTCCTGAGAATCAAATGAGTATGATAGATGTTGTGTGTCCTTCCTATAACCCCATGGGAAGCCAATCCCTTCCTTAAATTCATCCAGAGCTCCAGCTTTTCCTGGTTTTTCATTCCATATTTTTCCCTCCTTCAAACCTTTCCAAGTCTCCTGCAGACGAAGAGTTTAGAAAATCCTTAGGACAGTTTTCCAACAAGTGGAAAAGGAAGCATGATACAACACCTGTAATATAATCTTTTAGTTGTCTGACAGGGTCTGAAGAATATGACGCCCTCTGATTGGTTTGCTCTGGAAGCAAGCAGCCTTTTTGTTTGCTTCAATGTGCTCTACTAATAGTACTATTTCTGTACATCAAAATAATTGAGATGCAGGGTCTTAGTGAGAGATACCTTTGGGAGTGAGTACTCAATACGGCACCGCTTTTCCCTTTGCAGGGTCTGGTTAGAGTCTCTAGTAGGAGATATGGGAAACAGCTAGAACTAAAAGACAGCAGAATCAGACCACAAATTCTCTACTAGCCTTGAAGCTCAAACTCAATCATGTGAAGTATTTATAGTATAGTTTGATGTTTCAAACCAAATACCTTGTATTTGTACTTGTTGTACTTGTCCTTTTGTGCTTGGCTTACTTTGCTTAGCATGATTTCCTCCAGTTCTTCCCATGCAGCGATGTGCTTCATGCATTCATCACTTCCTTTTAGAGATGCATAGCACTCCATTGTATGTATGTACCACAGTGTTTTAATCCATTTGTCTGTTGATGGAAATATGGGTTGTTTCCAACTCCTTGCAATTGTGAACTGTGCCATGATGAACATTGGATCACACATGTCTGGCTGTGGCTTGTTTCTTGCCTCTTCTGGGTATGCCCAGTAGGGGTATTGCTGGGTCGTATGGTAGCTCAATTTCCATGTTTTAGAAATCGCCAAATTGATTTCTATAGTGGCTGTATATACCTACAGGTCCACCAGCAGTGCTCGAGAGTTCCTATCTTACTACAGCCCCTCCAACACTTGTTGCATTCTGATTTTTTTGAATTGGGCTATTTTTGAGAGTGTTAAATGTCATCTCGTTGTTTTAATTTGCCTTTCTCTTATGGATAATGATCGGGAACATTTTCTCATACGTTTATTGGCCATTTGGATTTCTGCCTCGGTGAAACTTCTGTTCAAGTCCTTTGCCCACCTCCTCAATGGGCAATTAGGTTTTTTGTTTTGTTTTGGTTGTTTTGGTGGTGGGGGAAAGCTAGCAGTATTGTTGATTTTAGTAATAAAGCCTTTGTCTGATGTGTCATTGCTAAAGA